TTCAGGGGTTTAGGGGTTTAGGGTGCTTCTGGGTTTGGTATAGGGGTTCGGGTCAGACTACAGGGGCGATGCTTTGAACACCTCTTTTCCGAACTGCCGCAACGTCTCGACTATAGGGTTTAGGGTTTATGGTTCAGGGCTGAGGTTCATGTATACCCTGGCTCCTACAGATTGAAGTATGCTTGGAAGCTCAAAAGCTGTAGCAAGTAGTCAAGAAGTCGGGTTAATGTAGCCGCCTTCGTAATTCGAAAGGGGCTTGGGGGAGAATATTATATCATCTTCAGAATATGGAACCCTACGGAACAGTAGTACTAATTATGGACAGGGGTCACCCGAGTTGTGGCCCCAAAGATGAGGATTGCTCTGAAGGTTGTTCCCATTGGAATACGATTCCTTATAAGGAGAGATTAACCTGCGCGATGTTTGGCCCAGCTGTTTTGAACGACTGCCAGTTGCCGCGAATCAAGCTACAGCTCACGCGACCTCCACCATGCAATACCGAAAGAGCCTAAACTTACCCACTGTACGCAAGCACCCTAAACTCTAAACCCTAAACCCTGTAAGTCATACTGAAGCTCCCTACAAAACTTAGGCTCTCCCGGGCACGTTGCGCAGCGCCGAACTCACTCTTCCTGGACTTTGCGCTTTTGGCCGACCTGGTTCTTACTGGCCTGGAGGTTGCGGTAATAGAGCTCGCGAGCCCGGCCTGTCTGCACAATCAGCACCTTGCACTCGGTTCGAAGATCTTCCTGCTCAAGGAGCTTGGTCAGTTTCGTCTCGATCTGCTGAATCAGCTCCTGCAGACGCTTCCTGTCCAGCTCACCGCTGCTGCAGAGGAGTTCGTTGGCATCCATGCGCTCTGACCCGATCTTCCGGCCCTTCAGGAAGACCTTGAAACTGGCGCCACCCCAATCCACTATCACGTCCGCAGTGTGCTCAGCCAAAGCACCCTCAGCCAAAGCAATGCTGAAGTCATTGATCAACTGATCACACTGGTACCCTTCGGTGCCCTTGTGACGACTCACCACCTTCTTCTCTGCTTTTGGCAGGGCCCTCTCAAGGGCAGCCCTCAAGGGCGGCACTCCCGGCAGCTCCGGGGAATCCTCCAAGTCTTTCAGGTCCACCAGGCGGGTGATCTCGGGCTTCACCGCGAAACCGATCGAGTTGATGAGCAGAAGGCACTCGTAGTCGCGACCCTCAGCTTTCAGCTTCCCCTCCAGCTCCTGCAAGGCCTCTCTAGAGCAGACCTTCGTGCCCGAATGAACCGAGAGACTGAGGTCAGAGGCATCATACGCCTGCGTGGAGGAGGAGCCGACCGAAAGGATCAAGAGTTTTCGGGAGCTCAGGCCACAGCTCAGGCCATACTCCAGCAGCGCCTTCTCGTTGCGATCCTTCTTCGCCTCGAAAGACTTGGTTGTAGTTTTGGGGCCCTTAACAAACATTTATGAATAGATACCTCTATAGGAACCGTATTGGGAAATTAAAAAAGTTTCCCGAAGTGCCACCTGGAAGAGGGTTCTTCTCTCCAGGGCAGCCTCCTCCTCCGGCGACAGGAAGATGTGCTGGAAAGAATGCTGCGTCGCAGTCACAGTCATGGACATACCCAGACCTTCCTATAGTAGGTTCCCTGATACAATTTAAGGTATATTCCTTACTGCTCATGATGTAAGCCCTGCATTACCTTAAGGACTCTAAACTATGGGAATTGTGGTACATTCCTTATTGTGGGCAATGGAGAAGTTATATCATCAACCGTAGTTACAGGATATTGGAAGGTCCGGGTATCCCCGAAGGAAGCCTGGGCCAAGAGAACCAGGCGGGTTTCGAGCGCTAGATGAAGACTTGAGCCTGAGAGCTGCGAACGAACAGCTACTCCGGCGCCTAATGTAGGCGCCTTAAAAATCAGAATGGGGTTTTGGGTGGTCCTTTGTAGTATATTTATAACATAATTATAATACGGAACCCCCCAAATTGGTTAGGTAATTATTAAGGCCCCTACATGCAGAACTATTCGAACGAGGTTTTGAAGGAAGAAAAGAAGAGATGGTCGTACACATATGGGTAGTTCTCTAAATTAGGGTCCCTTTTCAAGGCCCCATTATAGTACGGCACCCTTATACAAGGGACCCTAAAAGGGACCCTATAGTTTAGAGAACTACCCATATATTCGGGAGCCCCGAGACTGCCTTGTGCAACTGCGGCTGTATGCAAACCACTCGCATTCAAAACGAGGCAGACACCTTAACCTCGCTTCTTCAATTTAGGGTTTGGGGTTTAGGGTCTGGGGTTTTGGGTTTTGGGTTTGGGGTCTAACACCAAACCCTGACCCCTACCGTACACCCGAACCCCTGCATCAACCCTGAACCCGAAACCCGACACCGGCTGGCTGGAACATGCTTCACACGTCAAGTACTTACCGGCCAAGGGTACAAGGCACCCTCTCGCGCCTCGGCATTAGGGCCCTAAACCCTAAACCCTGAACCCTGAACCCTAAACCCTAAACCCTATAAACCCTAAACCCCTACACCCTAGACCCTAACCCTAAACTCTATAAACCCTAAACCCCTAAACCCTAAACCCTAAACCCTAAACCCTAAACCCTGAACTTAGGCCCTAAACCCTAGGGGCTTCAAACTTGGGGTTCGGGTTCAGGGTTCAGGCTGTGATGGGCTGGGTAGGAGTCTTCGACGTCATTCCTGGAGGGTTTCGGCAAGCGCCAGGGCCCTTGTTTGCAAGATTCGGGACTTCGCAGAGGCCGCAATTTCCGGGTTTAGGGTTGAGATATTTTAGGTTTAGGTTTAGGGTTTAGGTGTTTTGCGTTTAGCCTTTAATTTACCGCTTAGCGATGAAATTATGAGAAAAAGGCAATTGCTCAATCACAGCTTGTTGGGTGCTCTTGGTTTCTAGATATTTGGGGATCGGGGGTTTGGTAGGACCCTCAACCCTAAACCTAAACCCTAAACCCTAAACCCTAAACCCGAAACCCTAAACCCTAAACCCTAAACCCTAAACCCCGAACCCTAAGGCTTGACCCCCGAAGCTGTCGCCGCACCTTGGACCTCAGGATCCTGTCGCCTGCCACGCCCGCCATGATGCCCACGACTGCCATAACACCGACCAGCGCCATGACCTGTCCGGTTTAGGGTTTAGGGTTTAGGGTTTAGGGTTTAGGGTTTAGGGTTTAGGGTTTAGGGTTTAGGGACCTGTCCGTCGGGGTTTCTGTGAAGTTGGGGTGGGTCCTGCAGGGTTTCTTAGGGGGCTTGGTTTTAAGACTTTAGGGTTTTGGTGTTCAACGCTGGCCTTATCATCAGCACAACAAGCCAGAAAGATTAAAGAGGCGAGGAAGACAAAGCGATGATCTGATTCCTTTAAAGGGTCTGTTAAAGGGTTCCACAAAGGGCGCTTTAAGGTCTTGGAATAGGGGCCTGAACAATTAGAATGGGAAGCAGGTTATTATACTACCACAACTATAAACAGGAACCCTCTGAGATAGTTTTGTTGGTAAACCTCTCCGACTCTGAGCAAACCCCTAAGTCCTAAATTCGGCGAGCGGCTCAGCCTGTGTGGTTGTTGGCTTTGGCTTAAGGATTTGGGCTTAGGGTTTGGGTCTTTGGGTTTAGGATTTGCATCCTTTGGTTTGGTGGTTGGGTTTTTGGGATCCGTGCTTCGAGCTTAGGGTCTGAGGTTTAGGGCCTAGGCTTTAGGGCTTGAGGGTTGAGGAATTAGGGTTTTAGTGATTGCTTTTTTGGGTTTAGGTGTAGGCTTCCCGCATCCAAGAGTTCCAATGGCTTACGCACAACTTCTACCTGTGGTTGCTACTCTTCATAGAGGTTTTGGTCTGAGGTTCATCCCCGATCCATCACGACACCGAGAAAAATGTCAGGAATCTCAACCCTGGCGATAGGTGCAGCAATAAGTAGTCAAAACAAGAAAAAGTCATCAGCAATCAGCAAGTTGCAGCTTGGTTCAGCCATGATCGTTTGCAAACAGTAGTTGCATTAGTCATATTCAGACTGTATTCAGACGAAAAAGCAGCAATGCGACACACATGAGTAGTATTTGTGACAATGGCAGGATCAGAGCGCAGTAGCATCAGCTGTGGAAAGCACTAGCAACAGCGGGACGAACAGAACAGCACACAGGTAAATTAACCCAGCACTCCCAATGCCAGACAGAGTCCTGCCAGTATGGAAGGCTTTGATAAAACACAAAACAATATCAAACCCTAAACCCTAAACCCTCATCGGTCAAAATGATAAACCCACAGGAGCAACAACTTGTAATTAACGAGTATGGCAATAGAATGGTTACCACACAGAACAACAAGACAATCCAACAGCCATCACCCGCGACTCATCTGCAGCAGCACCGTCATTACTTGCAGCATCATGAATACTCATATCCTCTTCCTCATCCTCCTCCTCATCACCAGTGTCTATGTTGGAACTCGATACAAACTACAACACCTGCAACATGGTGATTACATAACCCTAAACCCTAAACCCTAAACCGAAACCTGAACATAGCTAAGCAGGCCTCTGCCATCCCAAAGATCAGAAACCCTGAACCCCGAACCCTACACCCTAAACACTGAATCCCTGGACCCTAAACTGGCTCCCTCTTGGGGCTACATTAAAAATGAACTTTTTTAATGGGTTTAGGGTTTAGGGTTTAGGGTTTAGGGTTTAGGGTTTAGGGTTTAGGTTTTATTATAACGAAGATGTAAAATTGTATCCAACAAGGACCCAGTAAACCCTGAACCCCTAAAACCTAGATCTCGAAACCCCCAATCCCAAGGCCTGGTCCCCGCAGCCCCAGATCTAAAACACTGCTTGGCTTTAGGGCTTAGGGTTTAGGGTTTAGGGTTTAGGGTTTAGTTTAGGGTTTAGTTTAGGGTTTAGGGTTTAGGGTTTCGGGTTCTTTACCGTCCAGTTCCGTCCTAGAGGAACCCAAGTTTTACCTTTGGGTTTGTACAGCGACTGTAAGACTTCCCCCCAAAA